CAAGAAGAACCGTTGCAACAATTGATTATAAGCGGGATGACTAAGAACTGTGTGGAAATGAATTACTAACCAAAGGCATGGTTTGTGGAATACAGTGGTGCCTCGCAAGATGAAATCAATTCGTTCCGCGAGTTTTGTCGTCTTGCGATTTTTTTCGTCTTGCGAAGCACGGTGTCGGGAAAGTTTTGGAAAAGCTTCAAAAACCTCAAAAAGCTTTAAAAACCTCAAAAAAGGCTATCACACCACGTTCTATGAGTTGCTCCTCAAAGTCAAGTCGCAACTGTATTAACGGTTTTAAGAAAAAGGAAACAAACTTGCAAGACGTTTCCGTCTTGCGAAGCAAGCCCATAGGGAAAATCGTCTTGCGAAGCAGCTCAAAAAACCAAAAACCCTTTCGGCTAGCGAGCTTTTTGTCTTGCGAGGCATTCGTCTTGCGAGGTACCACTGTGTAAAAAGAGACTCGCTATGTTGCAGGCTTTGATGCAGGATTTACGATCGAGGGGGAGGAGGCCATGGCTTTGTTATCATATTGGACTCTGAGTTTGACCTGGCAGAACCCCCTACAATGTGGGAGTCATAAAGCCATGGCAGAGGTTTGTAAATACTGCAGGGTACCTCCGGACCTCGTGACCAGCACTCTGAGCTTTACAAGGTATTGGAATGTAATGACCTTATATGGCATGGGTGCAATAAAAGCTTGACCGGATGAGGTAACGTGAGACATTGGAATGCAGCCATGCGGCTGGACAGAACAAAGGATAATAAAAAGTGACCGGAGAGGAGAAGAAGTCTGAATGAGCTGCCCTCCGTCCATGGAAATATTGCTGGCTCTCGGTGTCTTTATTTTATGCTAAATAAGCGCCATTGTGACGGCTGGCTTCATTAAGTGGTGCCCCGTGTGAGGCTGAATAAAAGAATACGACAGGTTTTTAAAAGAGAGCTAAGAAGCGATTTAAAGCAAACAGTCTGAGGCAGACTAAGAGGATTTTAAAAGAAACTGTGAGGGGTTTTTTGATCCAAGCAGTGGATATCATCGGCTCCCTACACCCGGCAAGGGTTCCACAGCGCTGAAGCATCTTAAAAAAGATCCCAGGGTGAGTCCGATCCCTTTTCTTCTTTTTTTAATCTTATTTTAGAGACATGGGCAGCTCTTTGACTACTCCCCAACAGAAATTTTTAAAAGACTTAAAATTTCTCCTCTCCTCCAACAAATTGGAAGTTCCAGAGGGTGATTTGATACAGCTTATTCTGTGCATTCATGAACATTGTCCCTGGTTCCCTTTGGATGGAACATGGGAAATAAAACATTGGGATAAGATCGGGACGCATTTTCATGGGCATCCCAGCATTGGTGTTCGGATTTTAAGTGCATGGTGCAAGGTTTGATATGCTATGGGTTCTTTATCACAAAAAAATATCTCCATGGCTGCATTGCCAATACAACCTTCAGCTTCTTTAATTCAGCCTGCTGTCCTGCCATGTGTTCCAGCCCTCGCTTTGCCTGCAGTCCCAGATCCCAAACCTCCGGACTACAGTTCCTCACCAGAGGACCCAATCCTGCAAAAATACCGTGGTCTGGCTGGAAATGACCCTGCTCTTTCAGCAGCAGAACCAGCTACCCCTTTTCAACGTGCAGTCCTTGCCTGTTCCTTATCTCAGGATACCATGGCATTCCCTGTTATTGTGCCCCCTGCTGGTGCTCCAGCAGGAACTCAAGCCCAGCACCAACCTTTTGACTTTAAGATCTTATTGAGGGATACTGCTCTTGCTGCTCAACAAGCAGTGAGAAAAATCCCGGAACCCACCAGTATCCAGTCTAGGTGTGGTTCAATCAGACAAGAACCTAGAGAATCATATTCTTCCTTTATGGACAGGCTGATTACAGCAGTGAGTAGACAAATTGAAAATCCTGAAGCCAAACAAATAATTATCAAACAATTGGCCTTTGAAAATGCAAATGAGGATTGTAAGGTTGCGTTACAACCGATAATACACAATCCTGCCACAGACACAGCAGCCATGCTTCGCATTTGTCAGTCTGTAGGTACAGCAGCTCATCAGCTGGTGGCAGCGCAAAATAAAAACCAGCCTGTAGCCATCGATACAACGTTTCCAGTGTGGCAAACCAAGATCACCGATACCTCAGTGTGGGTAGAAGAGTGGCCTCCACCAAAAGAAAAATCCGCAGCACCAGCTTGTTTCTGAACAGCTTATTTCTGAACAATTGACTTTCGGCCACATTGAACCATCTTCATCCCACTGGCTCCAGCAGACAGGAACGCTTTGCTTTTACATTGCCAGTATATAACAATTTGCAGCCCACCCAGCGATATCAGTGGGTTGTCCTGCCTCACAGCATGTGGAACTCCCCTACACTTTGTCAGCATTTTGTGGATGAAGCATCGAAACCTTTCCGCATGCACCACCTAGAGGTGCTGCACACAAACTGCATCTGGCAGTGTTTGCCTTCCTAACCATTTGCCTTGCCATCCTTTCCTGCACCGTTATACAAGGAAGAGGAGCAGACGACACAGTCCAGTTGAAACCACCATATTTCACCTTATCGGCTGGCAAGCAGCTGTCGCCTGAATCCTACTCTGGCTGGCAGTATCCACGGCTCAGCCACTCTCGAACTAGAAGAACAGTGTTGTTGAATAAGACTTTTAGGGGTGAAAATTATCATAAGATATGGAGGAATAATATTTTTGTACAAGATATGATTAAGTTTACTAGTTTATTGCATGCTTCTAAATGTTGGTTATGTATGCACATGCCGCCCTTTGCCAGTCATTCAGGCATAATGCTTCATGGTGTGCCTGTCAATGGATCTTTTCAATTTACTAATATTATATCCCCTAAGCAAACTTTTTGGCCTCCAGTACAATTGACCCTCCATGAGCCTGCCCCCATTTGTTTTCAAATTAAAGAGGGGAAAGAATCATGGGGCATATATCCAAACTGTCAATATACATTGAAATTCATGTTTAATAGCTCTTGTTCTCTTACAGGAACATACAGTGACCAATCTCAGTGCTATAGGAGTGACACCAGTGCATGGCTAATAAACTAGAAAGGAAGCCTACCATGCAGCTTGGAATCAGAATTCTTATATTCTTGGCTTCCGGATGGAAGTTGGCTTCGACATTTATTGATTATAGTGATTATTATAGTAGTTATTTGCATTATTTTGTGTTGCTATATACAATGTATTCCTTCTTTAATTTCTGTATGTACTGCATGGTTCTCCAGTCCGCGGCCCGCTTCCGGTCTCACAAGAGTCGCCTATCACTCTCGTTATAACCGTATTGGTACTGATATATATGGCTCTGATTAAAATATAAAGAAAGAGGGCATGTGGGAGTCATAAAGCCATGGCAGAGGTTTGTAAATACTGCAGGGTACCTCCGGACCTCGTGACCAGCACTCTGAGCTTTACAAGGTATTGGAATGTAATGACCTTATATGGCATGGGTGCAATAAAAGCTTGACCGGATGAGGTAACGTGAGACATTGGAATGCAGCCATGCGGCTGGACAGAACAAAGGATAATAAAAAGTGACCGGAGAGGAGAAGAAGTCTGAATGAGCTGCCCTCCGTCCATGGAAATATTGCTGGCTCTCGGTGTCTTTATTTTATGCTAAATAAGCGCCATTGTGACGGCTGGCTTTGTCACTACAAGAAGATCGAGGAGGGAGTGACAGGCCTGTGAGGATTGATGGGCAGGTGTTAAGATTGTGTTGTACGGAAGTGTTGAAATGGCGTCTGTCTGTTTGAATATGGCTCTTGGGGGAATGAAAAATCCACTCAGGACTATAATAACGTTTGTTTTCAACTCGCTTGTGGAGACTATCAGAGGTCACAAAGAAAGGAAAAATATACAATAACAACAACAAGATGAGGAAAACAATAAAGAGAAGAATGGATAGAACTGTGAATATTATTTGGACAGAACTGTGAACATCAAAGCAGCAGCAGCAAATAGAGATGACTGGATCCCTTTCTGAGCTCAAAGCATGGGTACCCCCAACAAAAATTTAAAAATTTGGCTTTGTAATTTGGAATTAATGTGATTTGATTGGTTTGTTAATAAAATTTATATTTTTTTAAAAAAGAATATTGAAACTGAAAAGCTGCCCGCTTACTTGGGAGTAAGATCCACTGACTCTAGCGGAACTAACAGCACAATCCTAACCATATATATTTGGAAGGAAGACTATAATGAATTCATCAGGACTTAGGAGTTAGGAATGCTGCCTTCATTCCTAGGGCTATACTCCATGTGCTCTATGTATGAGAAAGAGATGTACCAAATGGTCAGGTCAGGTCTACACATATTTATTTGGAACTGGAACCTATAAAAATAATTTGCTACACATCATAAAATAAATTAGGCTTATCTAGAAATCGATACAATCATTTTTGCTTATGTGCCAATTTCTCATCCACGGTGTTTGCTTTAATGGCAGGGCAAAGAACATTTTAGGAACCAAACTGTAGTTAAACGGTGGAAGTGGGAGAGGGTCCTACCATTTATTAGCCAGAAGAGTTTATGGGGAATAAAAGATGGACCATAGCACTTCTCACAGGCATGGGGGGACCCCTAAAAGGCTCTGGTTGCAGGTAATTGGGAAGAACAGGGTCTGAGAGCCTGGGGAGCTGCTGCCATTTACAGTCCTGGGCTAACAGACCAAGGGACTCAGTATAAGACAGTTTCATATAAAGATATGCAGATTACACCCAACCTCCCATATCAGATGACCTACTTTAAGACAAGGATCCTGACACCTCTGCACTTATGCAATGGATTTTTTTTTGCTTCACATGGAGCAATAAAGAGTTGGATGAGGCCACTGGGGTGCAGTGGTTGGAGTGGGGGGGGATAGCAACCTCCAAGTGGAACTTACTTCTGAATAGACACATATAAAATAACACTATTAATAACCCAGGAAGGTCACAGTGAGGCAGTCTATGTGCTACACTTGATAACTCCCAGCTGAATGTGGGGAAAGCCTCCAGTGGATTATGCACAGGACTGCATGCTTCAGGACCTTTCGTTCAGCTCTCCTCAATCTGGTGTCATCCAGATGTTCTGGAATGCAACTGGCTGGGGCTGATAGGAGTTGCAGTCCAAAACATCTGTAGGGCACTAGGTTGCAGAAGGGTGCTTTATCTGATTAAGCAATGAGACCCAGATTTAATCAAGGGGGGAGGGATTAATTGGTAGATCTTAGAATTAAGAGCATACTTGTTAACAACACACACACCTCCAGGCTCCTTCATGCTGGGGTGTCACAATAATAAAGAATTGGGGCGGGACAATTACAGATGACCTTTCCTTATAATGATATCTTTCATTTGCCAAACTCTCGGTTATCTCACACTTCCTTCAATATCTCAAAAAGTCACCTATATTGACCTTTTGTAGCAGGCAAATTTATTTACATTTAATTCATTCATGAATGCATTAATTTGCTTATAGGCGGATCAGTCAAAATACTTTAGTCAGCCGGTAGCTCTGATTGTGTTGGAGGTGATGTGAGATAGTAGAATCATTCTGTTGGTGGGGTTTGATCACCTGAAGCCACAGCTACCAAGTGATGAATCTATTATCTTTAAACAGGACTGGAGTCTCGGCCTTATCTTTATGGCATAGAGGCAAGCAAATGAGGAACTGATATATCACTATTCGGTGGTGGCTGGTGCCCACTGGCGGGGCAGAAGGCAGGGAGACCAACAGCAGGTGCAGCCAGAGCCAACTAATTCTAGTTTTGTCCCCATCCTCTTCCCTGCCGAGTTCTGTAAGGGCAACACTGAGTCGGAGGAGGAGGAAGCTAACAGCCAGGGCCACCCCCTGCACTGGATAAATAGGTGGTGGTTGGATCAGCCCCACGGGTGCTATTAAATCATTAAATATCATTCAAGCAGATGAAGCACAAAATAAACAGGTTTCCCCATTTTTATTCTGCCATCTGTTTTCCTGGGAGCTTTACTTTTGGTCTTGTAGCCATAGCTCTCCAAAATGCCATAGTCCTCTCCCACAGCAGGGTCAACTAACTCTCAGACGTCTCCAATCTCTTAAGGCCCTCCTCCTATCCACCAGGCATTGCAGGTTCCTCATATGGTTCATCACTGAGGTAGGTTGGCTGTGAACCTTCACTGATCTGCCTATCACTCAGGTCATAATGGCTCAGCTCAGGCGAATAGCTATCTCGCCTCTGGGCTGCTTGACTATCTGTTCCAGGCTTTTGAAAGGAAGACTCGTCTGTCTGCTGAGTATGAGATACCACCAGCCTGCCAGTTCTAATATTGATCCAGCTTCCTTCTGGCACAGAAACAACACTGTAAGTCACCTTTGATTCATGATCCAGATCAACATATGTATCTACGCTCAGCAGCGTAGTTGCACTCTGGTGGTTGCTTATCACTTTCTCATAAGGATCCTGCAGTTCTTCCCAAGGTTGTACAATGCTCATGCTTGATGAACAACTTTCAGATTGTACACTGCTACAGCAGGAGTTTTCGCCAGATTGTCCTACAGATTGCACCACATCAGATTTCATTGTTTTTCTACTTCCAACTGTATCTCTGCCATCTTCCACAGTTCCTCCATTAACACCACAAAGTGAACTTTTGTTTGTCTGCTGACCATGACTGAACAGGAACTTACCAGTTTTTCTGTTCAGCCAGATTCCATCTTCTAGAGAAATTATGCTATATGTCTGCTGAGCTGCATCTTCACCTTCTGTGTATGATGATAAGCTCCCAAGTGTTCCTTTGCTTGCAGACTCATCAGGCTGCTGGGTTGGATTTCCTAACGTATTCCATATGGTGTTACTAAAATGAAATTCATCACCCAAAACCTGCTGGGTTTTGTATTCCTGCTCCATCTTCAGCTCTTTGCCCTGCAGGCTTCCCTGTCTAGACTGTGGCACCCCTGCCGGCTGGCTTCCACGTCGGGAACCTTGCACCTCCATCTGCTGGCTGCCCCGCCGGGACTCCTGCACCTCCGCCTGCTGGCTGCCCCGCCGGGACTCCTGCACCTCCGCCCGCTGGCTGACCCGTCGGGACTCCTGAACCACTGCCTGCTGGCTGCCCCACCGGGACTCCTGCACCTCCGTCTGCACCTCTGCCTGCCGGCTGCCCCGTCTAGATTCTTGCACCACTGCCTGCTGGCTGCCCCACCGGGATTCCTGCACCTCCGTCTGCACCTCTGCCTGCTGGCTGCCCCGTCTAGATTCTTGCACCGCTGCCTGCTGGCTGCCCCGTCGGGATTCTTGCACCGCTGCCTGCTGGCTGCCCCGTCGGGATTCTTGCACCGCTGCCTGCTGGCTGCCCCGTCGGGATTCTTGCACCACTGCCTGCTGGCTGCCCCGCCGGAGCTCCTGCACCTCCGTCTGCACCTCTGCCTGCTGGCTGCCCCGTCTAGATTCTTGCACCGGTGCCTGCTGGCTGCCCCGTCGGGATTCTTGCACTGGTGCCTGCTGGCTGCCCCGTCGGGATTCTTGCACTGGTGCCTGCTGGCTGCCCCGTCGGGATTCTTGCACCACTGCCTGCTGGCTGCCCCGCCGGAGCTCCTGCACCTCCGTCTGCACCTCTGCCTGCTGGCTGCCCCGTCTAGATTCTTGCACCGCTGCCTGCTGGCTGCCCCGCCGGGACTCTTGCACCTCTGCCTGCTGGCTGCCCCGTCGGGACTCCTGAACCACCGCCTGCTGGCTGCCCTGCCGGGATTCCTGCACCTCCGCTTGTTGACTGCCCTGCCAAGACTCTTGCACCACTGCCTGCTGGCTGCCCCACCAGGACTCCTGCTTCTCTGTCTGCACCTCCGACTGCTGGCTGCCCCGTCGGGACTCTTGTACGACTTCCTTTTGACTGCCTCGTCGGGATTCTTTCACCTCCACCTGCTGGCTGCCCCATCGGGACTCCTGCACCACCACCTGCTGGCTTCCTCGCCGGGACTCCTGCACCTCCGCCTGCTGGCTGCCCCGTCTGGATTCTTGCACCACTGCCTGCTGGCTGCCCCGTCTGGATTCTTGCACCTCTGCCTGCTGGCTGCCCCGCCGGGACTCTTGCACCACTGCCTGCTGGCTGCCCCACCGGGACTCTTGCACCTCTGTCTGCACCTCTGCCTGCTGGCTGCCCCGTCGGGATTCCTGCACCTCCGCCTTCTGGCTGCCCCGCCGGGACTCCTGCACCTCCGCCTTCTGGCTGCCCCGCCGGGACTCCTGCACCTCCACCTGCTGGCTGCCCCGCTGGGACTCTTGCACCACTGCTTGCTGGCTGCCCCGCCTGGATTCCTGCACCACCACCTTCTGGCTGCCCCGCCGGGACTCCTGCACCTCCGCCTGCTGGCTGCCCCGCCGGGACTCTTGCACCACTGCCTGCTGGCTGCCCCGCCTGGATTCCTGCACCTCCGCCTGCTGGCTGCCCCGCCGGGATTCTTGCACCACCGCCTGCTGGCTGCCCCGCCGGGACTCTACCATATCTGGCTCTGGAACCCCCCTCTTTTGGCTGTCCCATTGGAACTGTGGCATATCCTCCTGTATGCACTCTCCCTGGGATGGTGGCATCTCATTCTGTTGGCTCCTCACTGCAAGTTTGTTTTCAAGCTGCAACAATTCTTCTTCTCCGTCTTCAGGAGACATTACGGTTTGGGCTGCAATTAGCTCTGCTGTTGCCCCCTTATTCTCAGTCGGAAATTCTTTCTTACAGGTGAGCTCCTGCTCTACTTCATCTTTTCCATCACTCTCAGATCCAGGCTTACTTGGTTCAGGTGCAGCACTCCTATCCATACTTCCTTTAGATGTACGCCTTAGTTTTTTTGCTATATAATCTTGAAGCCAGCTTCCCTCAGTTTGTTGACTGCTACAAGACATTAATGTGCCAGTTTTTCTGTTAATCCAAGTATTTATCTCAAGGGAAATAATACTATATGTTTGTTGAGCCTTTGCAGAAAAAGAAGTTTTCCACTTTGTTTGACTTGTCTCACTTGCAGCAGCACTTGGCACTTCAGACTCTTTTTCAGCACCCAACTTGGCTCCGGTCCCAAGTGATTTGTCACTTTGGGATTCTGGCACAACGGGCTGCTCACTTCCCCTCCGGGACACTGCTGCAGTAGGTGGTTGGCTGTCTTTCTGAGACTCAGGCAGGGTGCGGTATTCACTTTGCTTCCGTGACTCAGGCACAACAGGCTGCTCACTTCCCCTGCGGGACACTGCTGCAGTAGGTGGTTGGCTGTCTTTCTGAGACTCAGGCAGGGTGCGGTATTCACTTTGCTTCCGGGACTCAGGCACAACAGGCTGCTCACTTCCCCTCTGGGACACTGCTGCAGTAGGTGGTTGGCTGTCTTTCTGAGACTCAGGCAGGGTACGGAGTTCACTGGGTTTCCGGGATTCAGGCACACCAGGCTGCTCACTTCCCCTCCGGGACACTGCTGCAGTAGGTGGTTGGCTGTCTTTCTGAGACTCAGGCAGGGTGCGGAGTTCACTTTGCTTCCGGGACTCAGGCACACCAGGCTGCTCACTTCCCCTCCGGGACACTGCTGCAGTAGGTGGTTGGCTGTCTTTCTGGGGCTCAGGCAGGGTACGGAGTTCGCTGGGTTTCCGGGATTCAGGCACACCAGGCTGCTCACTTCCCCTCCGGGACACTGCTGCAGTAGGTGGTTGGCTGTCTTTCTGGGGCTCAGGCACGGTCCGGAGTTCGCTGGGTTTCCGGGATTCAGGCACACCAGGCTGCTCACTTCCCCTCCGGGACACTGCTGCAGTAGGTGGTTGGCTGTCTTTCTGAGACTCAGGCAGGGTGCGGAGTTCACTTTGCTTCCGGGACTCAGGCACACCAGGCTGCTCACTTCCCCTCCGGGACACTGCTGCAGTAGGTGGTTGGCTGTCTTTCTGGGGCTCAGACACGGTCCGGAGTTCGCTGGGTTTCCGGGATTCAGGCACACAAGGCTGATCACTTCCTCTCCAGGACACTGCTGCAGTAGGTGGTTGGCTGTCTTTCTGGGACTCAGGCAGGGTGTGGAGTTCACTTTGCTTCCGGGACTCAGGCACAACAGGCTGCTCACTTCCCTTCCGGGACACTGCTGCAGTAGGTGGTTGGCTGTCTTTCTGAGACTCAGGCAGGGTGCGGTATTCACTTTGCTTCCGGGACTCAGGCACAACAGGCTGCTCACTTCCCCTCCAGGACACTGCTGCAGTAGGTGGTTGGCTGTCTTTCTGAGACTCAGGCAGGGTACGGTATTCACTTTGCTTCCGGGACTCAGGCACAACGGGCTGCTCACTTCCCCTCCGGGACACTGCTGCAGTAGGTGGTTGGCTGTCTTTCTGGGGCTCAGGCACGGTACGGAGTTCACTGGGTTTCCGGGATTCAGGCACACAAGGCTGATCACTTCCCCTCCAGGACACTGCTGCAGTAGGTGGTTGGCTGTCTTTCTGAGACTCAGGCAGGGTGCGGTATTCACTTTGCTTCCGGGACTCAGGCACAAAGGGCTGCTCACTTTCCCTCCGGGACACTGCTGCAGTAGGTGGTTGGCTGTCTTTCTGAGACTCAGGCAGGGTGCGGTATTCACTTTGCTTCCGGGACTCAGGCACAACGGGCTGCTCACTTCCCCTCCGGGACACTGCTGCAGTAGGTGGTTGGCTGTCTTTCTGAGACTCAGGCAGGGTGCGGTATTCACTTTGCTTCCGAGACTCAGGCACAACGGGCTGCTCACTTCCCCTCCGGGACACTGCTGCAGTAGGTGGTTGGCTGTCTTTCTGAGACTCAGGCAGGGTGCGGTACTCACTTTGCTTCCGGGACTCAGGCACAACAGGCTGCTCACTTCCCCTCTGGGACACTGCTGCAGTAGGTGGTTGGCTGTCTTTCTGAGACTCAGGCAGGGTACGGAGTTCACTGGGTTTCCGGGACTCAGGCTCACCAGGCTTCTCACTTCCTCTCCGGGACACTGGTGCAGTAGGTGGTTGGCTGTGTTTCTCAGGCTCAGGCATAACAGGCTCTTCACTGCCCATCCAGGACTCGGGCACAGCAGGCTGGTCACTATCCAGCTTGGATTCCAGCACAAGGGACTGCTGGATACCCCTCTGTGAGTCAAGCATGAAGAGCTGTTTACTGCTCTGCAGCAACTCAGGCACAGCGGACAGATCACCTGCCTTCTCAGGTCCAGTGAACCCGGGCTGTTCACTGTCCTTTGGGATTTCTAGAGCAGCAGCGTCCCTCCAATTCTGAGGCATGCTGGGCTGTCCAGTGCTCCTCAAGTACTCTGGCATTTCACTGCCTCTTCGAGATTTGAGTCCCATTAACACTTCACTGTCTTTCTGAGGCACAGCAGACTGTTTTCTGACCAGCCAGGGGTCATCCTCCATAGGCTTCTCAATATCCTTCCAGGCAGGTGCTTGTACTTCTTTTTCAGACTTGGGGCAGGTTGATTTTTGAACCCCAGTTTCACAACTTGTCATCATTTCTTGATCACCAAGCTTCTTTTCTCTCTCTCTATTAGCCTGGAGCCAACTGCAATCAGTCTGCTGACTGAGGTTTCTTATTAATTTGCCAGATCTTCTGTTTAGCCAGGTAGAGTCCTCAATTGAAATGATACTATATGTTTGCTGAGCAAATGAGGCCTTTTGCTTCAGTGGTGCTGTCTTACTATCCAAAGAAGTGGGTCCCTCGGTCTCAGTTTCACGATCCACCTTGCATTCTGTCTCTTGGGGCTTTCGGTTGTCCTGCTGGGAGTCCTGCTCAATATCCTGTTGATTAGGTTGGTGGCATACTTCCAGTTCAAGTGGGGGACTGCTCTGAAAATTCTCTTCCTCAGCCTCCAGAGGAGTTTCCCCAAGATCTTCCACTGCAGCGAGGATATTGCTATAACGGAACTCTTGAATTTCAGCCTGCTTCCAATTGCGGAGGGAATCTTGCAATTCCAGAGGGAGGCTACACCGGCGGAATTCTTGTACCTCATGTTGTAAATGAGCTGGAAGACTGCCACGGTGGAGGTCTTGAACATCAAATTGCTTGGTGCCATTGGGGGAAAGTTCGTGTGGGAGGCGGCCATGGTAAATCCCAGGTGCTTCAGAGGGCTGGTTGCCCGAAGAGGGATCTTGTAACTGAACTGGAAAACTCTCCTGATCAATTTTTTGCAAGCTGGACTGGCGGCTGCCATGGTGGGAACCTTGCAATTCACTTGTTGCACTAATTGCTGAACTGCCATGGCTATCTGTCTGTAGACTCTTTTCAAACAGTTCTCTTTTCAGAGATTCTGCACTATCTGTCTGCTGTGCCTGGTCAGTTATATTTCTGTGCATTTTTTTCAGTCTCTTTATTCTTTTATCTTCTGGCATTTGGTAGGACCCTTGTCTTTTTGGCAGCTGGTTGCCAGTCTTGGACTCCTGCTCTTTTGGCTGTTGAGTAATGTAATAAGATTCTTCTGCTAAAGCCTGTTGACTAGTTTGCCTTGATTCCTTTCCCTCTGGCTGCTGAATGCTGCAGCAAGATTCGTGTACTGCATTCTGTTGCCTACCTTTTATTGATTCCTTTCTCTCTGCCACTTGTGGAATACTGCGGCGAGACTCGTTTGCTATAGGTAGTTGACTAGCCCGCCTTGATTCTTGCCCCTCTGGTTGTTGAATACTGTGGTGAGAATCTTGTGCTATCAGCTGTTGACTAGCTCGCCTTGATTCTTGCCCCTCTGGTTGTTGAATACTGTGGTGAGAGTCTTGAGCTACAGGTGGTTCTACTTTTGTATTTGCGTAAGCAGCCCTGCTTATTGCAGCCTCATGAAAAGGACGCAGAATTTCTTCAAGTGTTTCTGGGCCCCAAACAAAACTAGTTTGCTGACTGCCAGATATCATTTTTATGCCTGTTTTTTCGCTGATCCAACACCGTTCATCCATTAATTCAGTTTTGTCTAAGGCCTTACCTTGGGAAGATTTTCTGCTCTGCGGATTCTGAATGGACTGCTGACTGCTACGCCGAGATTCCAGTTTCTCATATCTGGAGTCTTGCACAACAGGTTGCTCTGTCTCTTCAAGTAAACTAATAGCCTGTTCCTGGCCTAGGATGTGAGGGCTGCTGCTGCGGGATTGTTTCCTAGAATGTTTCACTCTCTGGTTGGCACATCTCATTGCAATTCTGTTCCTCAGCACCTAGCATGTCTTCATTTCCAGGGATTACTTGGTCAAATGCAGGTTCAGAGTCATCCATTCTTCCTTTCACTTACAAACTGCTACAGTAGACACTTGAGGTCCACAGGTGCAGATCTGGCAAGCCAAGTATCGACCTCTTGCCAATCTCCACCTTTAGTTTAAAAAGCTATAAAGGAAACATGAGAGCTACCTTGTCTGATCCCACTTCAGGGGGGTTGTTTTATTCTTTTCATCAGGGCTGCGACTTGTATGTAGATGGCGTCATGGTCTGGATGGGTGGCAGACTTTTTTTGTTTCTTGTTTTCTATTTACAGCCGGCTGGAATCATGGCCCTTATGACAAAACAACAGCCCTGGATTAGGTGGTCACCAACTCTCCCCCTGTAGTGGTCTTCATGTTCTCACTCCAACTGCCTTTGTTCTAGAAGCTTCAGTAGCAGGTCTATGACATCATTGCCTTTTCTGCTCCAGCCATTCATACGATAAGAAGGCATTAGTCCAGGGCTCTAGAACCGGGCACAGACTTCTTTGTGGTTGCCATTCAGGCACAGCAACTAAGCCTTTGGCTGTTCTAATAGGCTGGACTACAATTTGCTTTCTATGGAAACTAACTTTAGGAGGAGGTAACTAATAACTATTTCCATTAATGGAACTCTTAAAGTGTGGTGTTAAGGTTGCTCAGCTGGTTTAGGGATTGGAGGGTTGGTCACCCTGTTGATGAAGAAGAAGAAGAGTTTGGATTTGATATCCCACCTTTCACTCCCTTTAAGGAGTCTCAAAGCGGCTAACATTCTCCTTTCCCTTCCTCCCCCACAACAAACACTCTGTGAGGTGAGTGGGGCTGAGAGACTTCAGAGAAGTATGACTGGCCCAAGGTCACCCAGCAGCTGCAGGTGGAGGAGCGGAGACGCGAACCCGGTTCCCCAGATTACGAGACTACCGCTCTTAACCACTACACCACACTGGCTCTCTCTGATGGACCACGTTGCTGAATAGTGGTCAGTCAAAGGAAAGCTGGTGTTTTTGTCCCTAGGCCACAGCGTGACTGATATGAGGCCTGAAGGTCAGATGGGTTCAAGCAGGGCTTGCCTGGGATCAGCATTCAATATACAGTGCTGTACACATCTAACAACAACAGTGGTTCTCTCTTTTCCATGTGTATGTGTTTCAATTTCAATGTCAGAAAGTTTGTTGCTTAATACTATGCCTAAAGAAGTAGGCATAGTATTAAGCAATAAATGACCGTGTATTTTATAAGGACACACAAACAAACAACAACAAAAAGACATTGCCCCAAACGAACTGAAGAGATGAGAAGCACCAGAAAAAATTACCAATGCAATTAACCGTTTGGCAGGGACCCAAAATGGGAACCATCACAATTTATAATGCACAAGGACCTGATGCACAGGGTTATTTTGTTTTAAAAAAAGAAAACACTGTGATAAGAAGTCACATAACAATACCTGGTTAACCACTGCCAAATAACAAATAAATTTGTTTTTATTTTATTTATTAAATTTGTATACCACCCTTCATCCATAGATCTGAAACTCCACAAAAATAAGTTCTGGAATCATAGCTCTCTGGAGTTTTTTTTTAATAAGTTGCTATGGAGCATGTGCCAGGACCTCTTGGCACACCTCACTGACAGGGATGTGCCTTGGTGTAGGACTGTAGGTGGCCTGCAAGGCTTTGTTGGAAGCTTAAGCTTTGGGAGTCCTACACTGCAAAGGCTGTGTTGACATTTCCTCATGCCAGAGAATTCTGTTAGATGTGTTAGCATACCTGATTGTAACTTATTCATCTATCTATATGCATGGGAAAGTTATTCCTCATTTTTTAATCAGTCATGACAAAGCTTTTCCTGCAGCTAATCCCCACACAATTTGACATTAACTTTTGGCAATTAATCATCACATTAAGCAGTACATGCAACAGTATATTCAAAAATAAAAGCAATATCTTCAGTAATACTGTACTTTTTAGAATGGATACTTTTCCTATCCAGGAAATCTTCAAAAATACCCATCATGTACATTTACCTCCTATACAAGTTTGTCACAGTTGAATACAGTTATGTTAAAAGCCTGGGTAAATAAATATGTTTTAAACAGCTGGTGAAAGCTCACCACATTAGGTGCCTGCTATACCTCATTCAACACACAGGGGGCCACTGCAGAGAAGGCCCTTCTCGAAACCTTGGTAGGCTTTGCCAGACCTCTGTAGGCTGAGGGCAACCTCCAAAGATTTTAGTGAACAGGCAGGTCTATATGGAATAAGTCTTTATTTTAACATTATTTTAGATAAGCTGGCCCTAAATTGATTAGGGCTTTTCCAAATTAATAACAACATCTGAAACTTGGCTCAGTAGCACTTGTGAGGGAGGCAGGTTGCAGGGCAAAATACATCCCATCATCTTCAGACCACATTGGCCCTGAGAAAAATGAAACAATTAATCCTGATATAAGAAATGAAATAACATTACAAACTAAACCTCAGTAGGGGAAGCTCCAGATGTAAACTCTAAATTCCACTTCACCAGTTATAAATCCTAGAACAGTAAGAGCTAGTGAATACTAACACCAGGAAACTCCAGGTTACATCCCTGCTTTGCCATAAATCTCGTTGGGTGAGTTTTGAGCCAAACCGTGTCCAACTTTTCCCCCAACTACTTCATTGGTTCATTGTGTGGATAACTTAGGGAAAGCCATGTACACTGTCTTGAGCTGCTTGGAGAGAAGAAAGTACCTTCTTGCAGGCACCTGTGTCTTTGCCTGTCAAGTTGTGGGTGAACATATCAGATGACACAGGGATTCTTCAAACAGCTCTTGTTTATTCAGAGGCCAGAACAGAACTGAACTGAAGGGTTCAGTCAGCCTGCTTATATAGAGCTCCAGTACAACGTAACTGTAACAATTTTCTAAAACTATCCAATCACTAAACTTCACTTTCGATCCCTTAGTTGCATAACTATCTACAGTATCCCCCTGCTGGCCCAGGGTGAGAACTTCAGTACATAACATTGCCCTGTGTGTAGATCGATGTTCACATGCAACAGTAATTGCACACATCTGTATTTAGTGTCTATTCCCTGCATCATCAGCATTCTTCGTATATGTCCCTTTAAAAACTGGAACCAAGTACAGGACTAAGGAGTCCAAGACTCCCATACAAGACTCTCATCCCCTGAGTGATTTGATGACGTCTTTATATTAATATGGGAGGAAACTAGGATGTTAGACCCTTTTAACATGTTTAGTCCACTTGCAAACTGTGTGCCTCGCTTTCTACCCCTCCTGCAATGAACAGATTACACAGTAAGCATAAAATGCTTTAACTACAAAATGTTCCAAAGGTCAGATTCATGCATTTAATGTAGCAGCACCAAGGAGAACACAGGCAGAATACTCTTGGGTAGAAAAAACAGAAAGATAACTCCAAACCCATGCTTGAAGCTGGGATCAAAGCTAAGACACATCCTTCCTCATAGGTTATATGGCAAGAAGAGAGAGGACGGGAAGAGAAGGCTTCACTTCCCCTTTATCAGAGGAGTGGTGACCCAGCTGAGTCTACAAATCTAACTCTGTAGTCTTAACACCTTCATGTACTAACTAGCACTCATACATAGTTATGTTTGACTGCAATTTTCCACAAATATTTACTAGATTCCTTACCTGCACTTCACCATTAGTTCCCTGCACAGGTTACAACAGTTAAAAAATACATTATAAAAAAGCTAAAACATATTACAGTGGTACCTCGCAAGACGAATGCCTCGCAAGACAAAAAACTCGCTAGACGAAAGGGTTTTTTGTTTTTTGAGCTGCTTCGCAAGACGATTTTTCCTATGGGCTTGCTTCGCAAGACGGAAACGTCTTGCAAGTTTGTTTCCTTTTTCTTAACACCGTTAATACAGTTGCAACTTGACTTCGAGGAGCAACTCATAGAACGCGGTGTGGTAGCCTTTTTTGAGGTTTTTAAAGACTTTGGTGATTTTTGAAGCTTTTCCAAAACTTTCCCGACACCGTGCTTCGCAAGATGAAAAAAATCGCAAGACGACAAAACTCACGGAACGAATTAATTTCGTCTTGCGAGGCACCATTGTACAATGAATAGACTAGGGTGTGTTTTAAAATACATATTTCATGTGTCAAAGATGTGCATCTTCAACATCCCATAAAAACTACATGAAAGGGCTGGACACACCTATGGAGAGGGAATTCCACCACTGGGAAAACCCAGCCAGAAGGGCAGGTTATAAATATTATTATTATTATTATTAATCACAGAGAACATGCTCCCAGGCAGCTGTCCCACCCAAACTACCAAGCAGACCCCTTCTGCCAATCTTAACACCTGAGAGGGTCTGTAGGGAAGGAGGCAGTCTTTCAGATATTTGCATCCTGAGTCACTTGTGGCTTTAAACATTGTGAGCACTGTGAATTGGGCCAAGAAACAAACTGGCAACCAACCCAGCTGTTTATACTATGAATACTGCTCATTCCATACCCCTACTTGTCCCTGTGTTGGCACTGCAGGATCCACAGGGCCTGTGCCTGGATTTAACCCTGGGATCGTCAACTGCTAACCTCTAGTACACACTTTTATCCAAATGTTAACAAAATAGAATGCCACATTTGCATTCACCTCATGATAATTTCTACTACAACTAGCACGGGAGACCTGTAACACTGCAAATGTTATTGGGTAACTTCCAGACAACCTGTTTATTGAATATTCATCCTAATTTGTTTCCAAAAAGTTTACGGGGAGGTTAGATGATGACAGCAAGTACAATGTGCAGTAGCTGTGAAAAAGGTAAATGCCATGCTACGGATCATTAGGAAAGGAACCAAAGATAAAACTGTCAATATAATGTCATTATACAAATCTTATGGTGTGGCCACATTTGGAATACTGTGCACAGTTCTCATTTAAAAATGACACTGTAGGATTTGGATATTCCACAAAAGAGGAAGGGTATCTTTTTATATGCGACGGCGGCAGCAAGAGTTTTGATCGCAGCAAAATGGAAGAATAATGAAATCCCCTCTATACAACATTGGATCCAAAAGCTGACAGAATATGCCGAATTAGATGGTCTATCAGAAAAAATAAAGAATAAATCAAAACAGGAATTTGTTTCAAAGTGGGAGGTTTCCAAAGAATATCTGAAAAATAAATATAGTAGTTTAAATTCTGTTGCAGCATTCGAGGAACTTCAGTAATAGTTGCAAGGTAGATATAAGAAATTAGATTTATTAAGAATAAGTTTAATTATGATAAAAGTGTGTATTGGCAATAAGTAATATGAAATTGAAATATGAAATAGACGGGAGGTTGGGTCTTTAGTGTTAAGACCAATGTATGTTTTATTGTTTGCTAAGAAAATTATGTGTCTATGGTTATTCTTGTGTGTAATTTGGTATTTGTGTTTGTTCCCCTTTTTTCTTGTATCAATAAAAATCTTTTTTAAAAAAATGACAGAGTTTGAAAAGGTTCAGAAACTGGCAAGCAAAATGATCAAGAGAATGGAGGGACTCCCCTATGAAGAAAGGTTGCAGTGTTTGGGACTTCTTAGCTTAGAGAAAAGGCAAGAGGTGATATGATGGAGGTGTATAAAATTATGCATGGCTTGGAGAAAGTGGAGTGGGAAGATTTTCTCCCTCTCTCAGAACTCATGGATATTCAATGAAGCCGAATATTGGAAGATTCACATTACATAAATTCGCACAGCAGAGTTGAACTATGGAACTCCCACAAGAGGCAGTGATGGCCACTTACTT